TGTCGAAACGTTGTACATTTGCTGCTATGTTAAACTTATATTCAAGTTTTTCTTCATTACCCATTCAAGCCTTCTCCAACCATTATTAGTTCTGTGTTTTCTAGAATTTCCTGTACAAATATGGGATTACTGTGTCAGTAAAAGGGATTACAAAGCACCACTTTTATAATATACACTCCAATGTTATATGAAAATTAGTCTTAGGATTGTAAGCTTTTACATGTCCAGAGTTACTGTGAGGTATTAAAATTCCTGAGACAGGAATATCTCAGTATTAAGTTGCAAAGCAAATGATAGAATGGTTTGAAATTTATTGTGTAGCATTTAAAACCGCTTGACTGACTAAATAACACTCAAGAGGAAATTAATAGTCTGAGTAAAAATATTCTTGTAATTTTTGTATAAAGTACAATTACTCTGGTAGTAAAAGAAATTTCAAACAATATACATATACTGTTGCAATGATATGTACTCTCTAAATCAATAAGATTACTTTAAGTATTTATTCTTTTGCTATCATATATAAACATTATTAACTGCAGGGATCTTGTCAGCCTAAATATTGCAGAACTCAGTATTTATGCACAATTGAAATAAATATTGCTGATATTAATTGTTAAATGAACTTACATTTACTGTAGGGATTTTTTCATTTCTATGTGTCTTTCACTTTTTTACAGTTTCAATACCAACCAGTTAAGTATATTGCTTTGTAGAATATTCACGTAAGTATCTGTTTTTTATTAATTTTTTCTTTTTGTAATTAGAGAAGTTTGTTCAGATTATTTTTTTCAAAAAGTTATTTTGCTGTAAATGGTTAACAAAATCACCGTTGTCACAAGATTAGTAATTTCTTTTTTAAAAAACTTTTTTTGCTCTAAATGGTTAACAAAATCACCGTTGTCACAAGATAGTGCTTCCTTTTTAAAAAAAAACTTCTTTTGCTGGAAATGGTTAACAAAATCAACATTGTCACAAGATTAGTGCTTCCTTTTTTAAGAAAAGGACATTAATGATTTACTGAAAATTTATAGACACTTTTATTTTATAATACAGAAATTAAAACGAAAGATTGCTCACTTTGAATGGCTCAACGTTAAGTTTAAGGGGATTAGAATGTCGTAATTCAGATTTAGATCCCAGCTGTGGACACAACGTAGATATTATATTGGTGAACTTTGCCTTTCAACATATGAAACAAATTGGTAAGCATTTCGAAGATCATAAAATTCGTCCACTAGAGATGATAGAAATAGCAAATCATCGAAAATAACAGTAAGTTTATTACTCACGTTTCTGCTGATAAAACAATAACATTTTAGCTATAGAAGAAAACTCTTTTACTGCAAAACAATTATCAACAGAAGATTTGTCTCATTGTACTGAACATAAATAAGAATATAATAAGAAATTAAAAGAGAATTTGTTTTGATATAGCCTTATAAACCAATTTATATTTTGAAATATACCAGTGAGTTCTAAATGTAACACACACAACAACTGCTATTTGTTCTTTGTAACATTTAGTGAGTTATGGGCCTTGTGACATTTAGTAGGTTATGTAGTTAACACGCAACTGTTGGACGTTTTTTGTAACATTTAGTGGGTTATGACCCTAACACAAAACACCTGCTTTATTTTCCATGTGACATGTAGAGAGTTATGACCCTAACAACAGCTTTTACATATTCCTTGAGACATATAGTGTGTTATGAGCCTAACACACAAAAACTGCGACATTTTCCTTGTACGTGTATAGAGTTATAACCTTAGGCAGATTTTGTTAAACAAGACCGATGTCTGTAGGTTTATTTTCTTCTTAGAATTCTTCTCAAGAAGTCGATAAGCCGTCTTAACGTTGTTAGAACAACAGGTAAAAGTTGTAGCTAGTGATGAGTTGGCCGACGCGTTTCGAATGCATTCTGCATCCATTATCAAGGCTGAATGTTGTGTGAATTGTGATTACTGTTGGTGGATATTTATAGGTATGGGTAAGCAGGTGGTGGTATCTAGCTCGTGGAAGGCGTTAATTGGTGGAGTGTTGTATTGTGGCTTGGGGGTTTCTTATACTATGTTATAACCTTAATACACATTAGCTGCTGTATGTTCCTTCAGGCATGTTGTGGGTTATGAATCTCTCTAAAGATATTTTATTGATCTCTCAATCTTTCAGTACCTGTTGTATGTTGAGGCTGTTGTCGTGAAGGGTTTGGTTAATATATGCTTTGAGGGAATATATAATTATGAATTACAAACAAGATATCCTTTCAACATACAAACATAGACTTTTGTACGTATGAAACTAATTATGGCCTAATTCGTTTGATTATCTTGTTTCTATTTATTTCAGACAAAAATATTTGTTAGAATAACCGTATTATAATTGAGTTGAATTGTTTCCTAGCACAAATACACACAATGAGTAATCTGCACTATATCCACTGCATGAATCGAACACCCATTGTTAGCGTTATAAGCCATCAGGCCTACTAGTGAACCACCGGAGCTCATTCTCTTCCGTTCATTTGACTTATACAGAGAAAAATATATGACAAAATCACCTGACTAAATAGTATAGGCATAGAAAAATTAAGAATAAATTGGAAAATTTCCCTATAACTTCCGTGTATCATAAGTTATTGAAAATATACTATTTTAAGATAATGAAATTGGGGTCTTAAAATTCGTGATGTGTACGTCAAGGCAACCAAACTAATAATTCAAATGAATTTATTTAGTTTAATCTTCAATTCTTCTAACATAAGATTTCCACTCTAATGATGAAAGTTTCAAGTTACGCTGTAGCACCTTATTTAACGTCTTCTTAAATAGTATTGTCTTATTTCTCTGTACTTGTGACAGTTTAACTAAGTAGTCATGTTGATGATCTGTAGGGTTCTTATGCTTAACTATTCAGTCTCTTCTCGACAGTTTTTACTGCATCTTTTATTTCTCTTAACTCGAATACTACATGTGATCATACTGTGTAAGTAGTGAAAGCTTAACCCTAAAACATGCAGAAAGAAAAAACAGCCAGTCGGATGTTTTACACGTCACAAAAGAAATTTAAAATCGGAAGTCCTAAAACTAATTTATCAATTCACGGGGTCGATAGCGTCCACTCGTAAGGGTGTTTGGCTCGAAGCTTCACAGGGTGAGGATGATTAAATTACTTGCAACTGTTGGATCCCTGAAAAAAAAATACAGAAAAAAATGTACCCCAAAGTATTTTAAACATAATTTGAGGACATCAGGTTACTACTTATTATTTAGTTTTTCTCGTTAAAGACATTCAAGTAAGAAAATATCCTACAGATGTATCTCCATAGAATATCATATATAAAATATCTAAGTACTTTACTCAACTAAAACTATTATCGTTTAGAAATCAAGTCGTATTTGAACAAAGTTATTGATATAAAGAAAAAATTATAATTGTATTAAATGTTATAAAAATACATTTAAAAACAAGCTCAAAATAATTATTATTTTTATTTGAGAAATCTACTTATTTTTTTTTCTATTTCACCTGACAACTGGTATGAAAATATTATTTTACTTCTCAACGCAAAATAGTGACTTACTTCTTAAACTAAGACTTGCATAATTGACGTCACTGGAATATCCTAACACTGAAGAAAAAAATTATAATCCTACTAACAGAACCTACTGAAATAAAATATTTTTCACTAAAGAAAAACATCCCTTGAGTCAGATGCATTGGTACAATTGTTTATATAATAATTCCAGTTTAACAACAGCTTTAAACCTTTTCTTTCTCAATTCCAGTTTAATAATAGCTTTAAATATTTTCTATCTCAATTCCAGTTTAACAACAGCTTTAGCCTAAAGGTCTGGCGGTTCACGATATTACAATCGCAATCTGTCGGTCGTGAGTTCGAATCATATCAGAACATATTAGCCCTTTCAGCTGTGGGATCATATTAATATGACGATCTATCCAGTTTTTAGTTGGTAAAACGTAGCCCAAAAATTAGCAGTGTTCATTAACTACCTTACCTAATTCTATCACTTAAATTCAAAACAAACTTTAACTCTTTTTCTGTCTCAATTTCAAGTTAACAACAGCTTAAACCTTTTTTTCTCTCAAAGAGTTAATTTATATATTACTTTAGTATCATATTTCTCTAGTATTGAATTTTAACTGTAATATAATCATTGTTAAAGAGTTAATTAGCTTATGTAGATGAGGATAAGGGTGTAGATTTGGTGTATCTGGATTTTCAGAAAGCACTTGACAAGATGTCACATAAAAGGCTTATAAAAATTATCTCTGTAGGTGTGTGGGATAAGTTAGCAAATTGGGTAGAAGAGTGGCTGGATGGAAAAAGCAGAAGGTTGTTACAAATGGAATTCAGTCAAACTGGATTAATGTCACAAGTGGAGTACCTCAGGGCTCAGTCTTAGGACCTTTGCTCTTTTTGATTTACATCAATGACATAGATGAAAGAATAGTCAATAAATTTCTTAAATTTTCAGATAATATTAAAGTCTTGGATGTTGCTAGCTGTGAAGAGGATGCTGCTGATTTACAAAAGGATTTGAATCATTTAGTGAGTTGGGCAAATAAATAGCAGATGGGTTTTAATTATATTAAATGCAAGATAAGATTTGAATTATAAGTAAAATTTGAATGGGAATAACCTTAACAATGTTATGAAGGAAAGGGATCTTGTTGTAATAGTCAATCAGTCTCTAAAGCCATTCAAGCAGTGTGCTGTTGCTAGTGGTACAGCAACTAGGATTTTAGGTTGTATCTAGAGAAATGTTGAATACAAGTCTAAAGAGGTTATAATTTCATTGTACAGGTCACTGGTTAGGCCACTTTCGGAATATTCTGTTCAGTCTTGGGCTCCTTACCTTAGGAAAGACATTAAATTGTTGGAAAGGTTCAGAGAAGGTTACCAGAATGGTGTCTGGGATGGAGGGGTTGTCATACGAAGAGGGGTTGAAATCTCTGAAATTGTTTTCTCTTGAAAAAAAGAAGAGTTGGGGGATCTGATTGAGGTGCTTAATATTATAAAGGGAACTGATAGTGTTGATGCATCATCTTTTTCATATTTAAGAGTGAGAATAGTAGGACTAGGGAATACAAGTATAAATTTTGGCAAGGTAGGAGTCACCTTCAGCTAAGACAATTTCATTTTTCTAACAGGGTAGTTGGCCTTTGGAATGGGTTGCCTTCAGATATCGTAGGGGCAGTAAATTTAAGTGATTTTAAGAAAAAGCTTGATAAGTATATGAATGATAAAGGCTGGCTTTAAGATTTTTTAATTTATTTAATTTAATTTAGAGGATGGCACTGCCGAGATGAGCCAATATGTCCCATGTTGTCCCAAAACATTATGTTATGTTAATTCAGATCACGACTTTCATATATCACTTGGCTTGTGCGAATCTTGACAGGCTTAAAATCATATTGTATTTTTTTTTTACGTATTACTACACCATGATGATTATTTGAAGAACTTGAAAGATTCTATACATTTTTGTAGTTAATGGGTTACGCAGTAAATTTCCACTTACATAGTCCATAACACGCTTTAAATTGTTAACTTCTTCCTGCAGGGTCTTACATGTACGCTGTGACGAAGCTAAAAGTTCATTAGCTTCCTGTAGATGGCGGTGAACGTCGTCATAATGAGATTCAAGTTCCTAAAAATTAAATATTGTTTTAATAATGTTATTATATGTACGTATCTATGTACGTAATTAAAACTGCTGCGCCATCCATTGAATGGCACTACAAACATAAATCCATAAACAAATTCACACTCTGGGTATTTAAAATTCATACAATTACAAAATTACTGTGGTATGTAGAACAGCCATTTCTTTATAACAGAACACAACTTCAAATAAAGGTATTCTTCTCACAACAACAAGAACACGACTTTCACTGTGACTTACGTGAGTGTTTGATTACATCTTTGTTGATGTAATTTTTAAATGTAGTAGTGAGAAACTAAAGTTCTTAAGAAAACCATTATTTTTTAATAAAAGGTACCACTTTTAATATATAAAAACATAAAAGTTTATATCAGTAAAATATATGAAAATTTTGAGCTCTGTACATTGAATCATTTTGATGCAATGAATTGAGTATGACTAAAGAGCACAATATGGACACTTTTCCTGTGCAGTACTTCCCAGAAAAAAAAAATAGAAAATCTTCACTTTTTCTAAATTCCCTCAATGAGGTATGAATACTACGATTAGTAATTACTATAGCAAACAGCCGTCCATCTAATGAAAAGCTCTTTAAAGAACTGGAAAGGCTTGTTGGTTTTTAAAAAATCATATTTTAAGGTGGTACTTTAGCGTGTAAGCTTCTTCTTACGAAAATAGATAAGTCGTTTTTTTATCTAAAGCACTAAAAGTTTTGCGTATTATTCAAAACAACAACACTATATTGACTTTTACTATAAGCACAAATATATTAATCATTAAATACTTAAACAATAGTCTAAAAGTGATAATCAGATTTAGTGAACAAAGTTAATACAATAATATAAAATTATCAATTTAGATAACCCATATTTCAATTGTGACAGAGAGAAGCTCTGCAGGGCTGTATAATAATTGTCATGTTGTAAAACATAAACTTAAAAGATGCGGTTTCCTTCTTTACATTAATAGGTGATTGCTCTTCAACTAATATTTATACATGACAATGTTTGTTAAAATGGAAAGAAAAATGCATAAAGTTTTCAGCATCTCTATAATTCATATAAAAAATTAACTAATTCTGACCATCTGTGATTGCAGTAATTCAAAACAATTCATTTTATATAACCAACCAGTGGTAATATATTGATTAGACAAAACGATAAACATAACTTATTGTATTAAATAAACCAGAAGTTTAGTTTATTTTAAACAAAGTTAAAACGCAAACGCAGCATGAAATAATCTCCATTAAATTACCACAACCTTCGTATATTTTAAACAAAGTGAAAACAGAAAGACTTGTTTCTGTTACAGTAGTCATATCCTTATACGGATTACTTACAGCTAATCTGGTGACTTGTTTCTGTTACAGTAGTCATATCCTTATACGGATTACTTACAGCTAATCTAGTGGCTTGTTTCTGTTACAGTAGTCATATCCTTAGCTGTAAGTAATCGGTATATAAGGATATGACTACTGTAACAGAAACAAGCCACTAGATTAGCTGTAAGTAATCCGTATTAGGATATGACTACTACAACAGAAACAAGTCCTTATACGGATTACTTACAGCTAATTTAGTGGCTTGTTTCTGTTACAGTAGTCAAATCCTTATACGGATTACTTACAGCTAATCTAGTGGCTTGTTTCTGTTACAGTAGTCATAACCTTATACAGATTACTTACAGCTAATCTAGTGGCTTGTTTCTGTTACAGTAGTCAAATCCTTATACGGATTACTTACAGCTAATCTAGTGGCTTGTTTCTGTTGTAGTAGTCATATCCTAATACGGATTACTTACAGCTAATCTAGTGGCTTGTTTCTGTTACAGTAGTCGTATCCTTATACCGATTACTTACAGCTAATCTAGTGGCTTGTTTCTGTTACAGTAGTCGTATCCTTATACCGATTACTTACTGCTAATCTAGTGGCTTGTTTCTGTTGCAGTAGTCGTATCCTTATACGGATTACTTACAGCTAATCTAGTAGCTTGTTTCTGTTACAGTAGTCGTGTCCTTATACGGATTACTTACAGCTAATCTAGTGGCTTGTTTCTGTTGCAGTAGTCGTATTTTTATACCGATTACTTACAGCTAATCTAGTGGCTTTTTTCTGTTACAGTAGTCGTATTCTTATACGAATTACTTACAGCTAATCTAGTGGCTTGTTTCTGTTGCAGTAGTCATATCCTTATACCGATTATTTACATCTAATCTAGTGGCTTGTTTCTGTTACAGTAGTCATATCCTTATACGGATTACTTACAGCTAATCTAGTGGCTTGTTTCTGTTGCAGTAGTCGTATCCTTATACGGATTACTTACAGTTAATCTAGTGGCTTGATCTGTTGCAGTAGTCATATCCTTATACCGATTACTTACATCTAATCTAGTGGCTTGTTTCTGTTACAGTAGTCATATCCTTATACGAATTACTTACAGCTAATCTAGTGGCTTGTTTCTGTTGTAGTAGTCATATCCTTATACGGATTACTTACAGCTAATCTAGTGGCTTGTTTCTGCTACAGTAGTCAAATCCTTATACGGATTACTTACAGCTAATCTAGTGGCTTGTTTCTGTTACAGTAGTCATATCCTTATACGAATTACTTACATCTAATCTAGTGGCTTGTTTCTGTTGCAGTAGTCATATCCTTATACCGATTACTTAAAGCTAATCTAGTGGCTTGATCTGTTGCAGTAGTCGTATCCTTATACCGATTACTTACAGCTAATCTAGTGGCTTGTTTCTGTTACAGTAGTCATATCCTTATACCGATTACTTACAGCTAATCTAGTGGCTTTTTTCTGTTGCAGTAGTCATATCCTTATACCGATTACTTACAGCTAATCTAGTGGCTTTTTTCTGTTGCAGTAGTCATATCCTTATACCGATTACTT